GGCGGACCAATCTAATAGGTCCTGCCTCCCTGGCAAGGGGTTGCAGCTTTTGAGAAACTCATTGCCATCAGACTGTGATCCGGCTATGACAAGGGGACCAAGGAGAGGTCTACCAGTTCCAGATCACATAGACACTGCTCTGACAAGAACAGCAAATTGAGTGTGTGACCACTATTACTAGTCAGGCTCTAGATGATCTGGGACAGACCCATGGAAGTTATGGTTTCAAAAACAATTGCTGTTTTTGAGCCAGGTTTTGCCTAATCTGTACTTGTACTTTTGTTTTTTCCTGCCTAAGTGTAAAACCTTGCTTTTCTCCACATTAAATTCTATTTTGTTTGATAGGGTCCATTGTTCAAGACTGTCAAGATCTTTTCGGATCCTGAACTTGTCTTCTGAGGTGTTGGCTATTACTGCCAGCTTAGTGTCTTCTGCAAGAGGAGGGTAAGGCAGTGGCAACTAGCAAACCCTTCCATGTCTCACCCGGTGGCGGCAGCCAGCAGGGCAGCCCCAGCCACCACTCATGTTCCACCACCAGCTGCCTGGAGCCCTTAAGGGGTTTGCTTTGCCACCTCCTTTCCAACTCCCACTCAACTCCCCTTGCTTTCCCAAAGCATCCATTCACTAACCTGCTTTCCAGCTCTGTTCTCCATGTGCAGGGCAACAAAAGAAGACTATGGGACTACCAGCAAAAAAAATAAGTTCAACCACACTTCCAACTTTGCAAGATTTTTTTTTTGAGAAGTTGGAAGGTCTTCTTGATCTTCTTTTCTTGCCCTGCATGCAGCGGTGGAGAATGCAGCTAGAAAGCAGGTTAGTGAAAGAATGTGGTTGTAGTCAATTTGTTTTTGAAATAATTTTAGTTAATTATGTATGTTAGAATCTTCTGGTGAATTCTGGAATACTGTCTCCTTCAGTTTAATTTCTTATAACATATTTTGGATTTTTTCATCTATCTTCCTTTTAATTATTGTATTGTATAAAATGTCCTCATATCACAACCTTACAAGCATCCCAAACTGTTGTCAAATTGCTTCCCATACTTAAATTATTATTAAAATAGCCTTGAACTACCTGTTTACATTTTTTTAACAATCTGTGATGTCAAAAAGTTTTTGGCAGTTTCCCTTGTGTTTCTTTAATTCCTTTATTAGCTCATCTGTCCAGTGGGGTTACTACCCCATTGTAGTTCCCAATCACTTACCAATACTGAAAAGAATAGGAATGTTCAGACAGATATTTAAAAAGCTTGGCTTTTTCTTGGTATGGGATGGTATAATCCCACCACAATATATTTTATTTCCTTTAATTCAATTTGCACAATTACATACCTGCCTAATAAGTGGATATAATCGGGTTTTATATACAAAACTACACCATTTATTTTTTTCTTTGAATTAGCAGAAAAACTCCAGACCCAAAGTTTTATTTGTTAAATACTTTTTGTCAGTCTATCATGGTTGACTTTTTTTTAAGATAATGAAATAACATTTTTTGTGTGGGGAATTTGCCCCATTAACATTCCATGTCAAAATCTTGCAATCCATCTGTTATGAAGAGGAAGTTCCAGGGTTTCCAGCTGAGCCTCCTAACTCCACAGCCTATCCTTGATAAACGTCAAGCTTCTTATTTTCTTTTTCTTTCTGATCTTTTTATCTTTTGAAAAATAGTGTTGTTTCAACCCATGTTTTTTCAAAAAGTCTAGTGCTTTAAGGACTGAGCTTAGTCTGTACTGTTGATTTCTAAAGGTAAGCCATCCAGCTTATCCCAGTGAAATGGAGTATTATTTTGTTTCAGAAGATTTGTCAGGGAAAAAAATACTTAATATTGTATTTGTAATTTCTCTGAATATTTGCACCTTTTTTCCAGAAATATTAAATTCTGATGGAAATGTTTTTAAATTACTTGCTTTTTAATAGATTTTCTTATGAATTGGATCATCACATCTCTTGGCAGTTGTCTTCTGACTGCATATTATGCTGAGTTTATTCTGTAAATTGTGTCTATTTCTTTAGAAAAGTTTACTTTCTCATTATTAAACCTTTTAGTCACTTCTGTTACAATTACTAAGTTGCAAGTTTCTTCAGGAATTCCTCTAAGACACAGAAAAACTTCCTCTTGTTTCAAATCCAATAGCAGTAAATTTTAGTCAAGAAGATCTAACTCTCAAAGGTCCAAGGCTGGACCTATTTAGGACTAAAGCAAACACGCTCAGGAACCCAAGGGAATCAGCAAACCAAACTTTAATCCTCAAAAGCAGTCTGGAGCCTTTGTACATAATGAGTAGGAAACAGAGTCCCTTGCAAAGTCAGCGCTGAGAGCTGTCACCTCCCAACACACTTTATAGTCCAGCGACCATGCCTTCTGGAAATCCCGCCCCTGTAGCCAGACTCACCCATCGCTCCTGTCACTCTCTTCACTTTGTGCTGCTCCATTGTTTGTGTCTGCCCACCCATCCCCAAGTATGCTGAGTCCCGAATCGGGGCTCAACATTAACTTTGTGTCTGTCTTATCCAATCTAATCTGTATATTTTTAACATCATCTTTAGTTTGTTTTAATTCTGATACTAATAATTCATTTTTTTTATCGGATTTCTCATTTATCTCTTTTATTGTGTTATGTAACATAGATAATCTTTTCTCAAGTACTGCCTGCCAAGTCTGAACTGATAACAAATAAAAATCTACTCACAGAAAATTACAAGGCAGTCCACAAAAATCATTCATGAAGAAAATCTGAAATAAGATTAAACTTTGTCCCGTACAAAGTTCCAGCCGAAAACACACCCACTTTTATCCCCTGTGGGGTGTGGCTCAATGACTCAGGCTCACTCTCTGACCCTCCCACGCCTCCTACGTTGCTGCTCACGTTTCTCCCTACGATGCTGCTTAGGATCAGGATACTCTTCCTCTTTACTCCCTGTCAGGGGCTGCTCCGATATGCCTTCCTGCTGATTAATCTCAGGCTGTTCATCTCGGTTGTCTGATGAAACCTGAGGCATTATCAGGTAGGAAGCCATTGCCAGAGAGGAAGGTCCTGGGGAGGAAGGCATTCCCAGTTCCTCCTCCTCATCTTCCAAGTCCTCTTCCTCTGACAGCATAGGCTCGGGAATCGGGGCCACAACACAACAAGATGAAAGTGACGTTGAAAAAAAAGAATGAGCAGAGCGAGAAGGAAGCAAGAGCAAAGGAACAGAGAGAAATAAGTTCAACTAGGAGAATAAGATCTATATATAAGTGATGCAGTGCAAAAAGAAATAAAGTTGCTGTCAATTAACATAAATGGACTGAATTCCCCCATGAAAAGAAAAAAAACTATTTACAAAATCACAAAGGCTAAGATTAGATATAATATCACTAGAAGAAGTACATATCAAATTATCCTAAATTGGGGAAATTGTACTCTTCACTATTGCAACAAAAGAAAAAAGGAGTGGTATTATATATTAAAGAACATATAAAAGAAACAACAAATGGTAAGCAAATGTTCAAAGATGAAGAAGCAGGAGAATGTTGATTGTGGAAGTGACATTAAATAAAAAAGAGATACTTTTAATTGCGATGTATGCACTGAATAATGGGCAGGAAGAATTTTATAAAAAATTGCATAAGAATATACTTGAAACAGAGTATGAAAATATTTGTCTTATAGGAGACTTCAGTGCAATCGTTCATACAAAACGATTATAAAAGTAGTAAAATGAGCAGAAAAGCAATTAAAACAATAAAGACTTTACCTATGGTTATTCCCCATGGTAGGCTAGCCCTCTAGGTGGACTGAGAATGAAGTTCTGGCTTAATGTCAGTCCTTCCCCAACTTGGTCCCTTAAGAAAGAAAGACCCTCAACTCCGTTTGTAGTGAAAGCTATACTTTACTAAAAGGCCATGTGTATACAGTATAGCAAAGCCAGAACTGAGTATTCACACCAACTTTTCCCAGTTATCTCCCCCTTCCCTTAGTTCCTTCCCATTGCTCGTCATTCATTGTCCAATCAATTTTAAAAGAGGTGGTTTGGAAACAGTCACTCTGCCTGTTGGCATTCTTCTGGCTTTGTCGCTTCCCTCAAGCATTAACCCTCCCTCCCTTCCCTTCCTTCCAGCCTCCTCCCCTCCCCCCACCCCGTTTTCCTGGCAGCCTGGCCTTCTGACACCAGTGTGCTTACGACCTATTCGGTCAGCTCCAACAATAGATTAGAAAACCAAGTTACAGCTTCATAAAACAATTGTTGTACCAACAGCGATCTACACCAGCGATACACGGGCATAACAGCACACACAGCATGAAAGCTCAATGTGTTCCATCAATCTTGCCTACAGAGAATACTGGATGTCACTTGATGTGACCATGTCAGCAATGAGGAAATTTTTCAGTGGAGTGGATCCAGGAAATTGCAGCCATTGTGACTGAACATTGAATGTGTCTAGCTGGCCATATTCTTCACTTGCCAGAACATCGATACTCAAAAACACTGTATGATGGGAGCCATCAAAGGGAAAGTGGACGTGGGGTAGACCATGGAAAACTGGGTGTCAGACATTTAAAAATGATTTATAGACAATAGACATTAAATGGATAGAAGCTGAAGACTCTGTCATAGATAGAATTCATTGGAAGAAACTTGCTGTCCTATGCACTTCATGCAAAAGAAACATGATAATGATGATACAATATTTGCCTCCAATAAATACAATAAATATGCAAGAATGAAAAATGAGCGTTTGAGTAGTATTTGTGTTTGTGACAGAGTTGTATTTCTGAATGACATCTTGTTTTTATTACTGCAATGATTATTGTGCTTAATTCACAATTAAACTATATCAGTTTGCCCATCATTAATGCACATGCAGTATCATTTGAAACCAAACCAGCTTGGATTGAATAATCACAGTTTGATACATATCTGTTTGTGTTCCAGAAATATAATGGGAAAAATCTAGGGAATAATTCTGGAAGCATTCACTATGTGATTTCTCTGACAGCATTATGATTTGTCTTTCAGAAAATGTGCCATGATCTCTGCTCATTATGGCCTCAGTGATGTTTTTGACAACCTCATAATTTCTCTCTGTAAATTCACAGCCCTAAGCAGTGAGGTAAGTCATCAAATGGAGACATATAAATAATTTAAATTTAAACATAGTTCATGAGCAAAGTTGATTTTCCTTTCAGTTAAATACAACCACTTGATTAGTTAATACTAATCTTTAGTTCTTTCTGGTTCCCCAGAATGTTCAACTTTCAAAGTTCCATCCTACCATTTTTTAAAAGAGGAAACAAAAGCATGTTCTTGCAAGAAAGATCTTATTTCCAAACCATCTGGACCCTTGGTCTGTTTGTAATTTTCCAAAATCAAACTCTTCTTTTGCTGTTTATCTCATTTTTAAAATTCCTTAAACTTGTATTTAAAACATATTTCACTAAGAATTGAAGAAAATTCATCAGGTGCTATAAAACCTGTTGATCGAAAGTTTATAATAATTGAAAAAGCAGTTAATAAGCAATTTCAAAAGTGGTTACAAAAGGAAGTATCAATAGAAGTAAATATTGAAGGTTGAGCTTTAGGGTCCTTGGTGCTCTAAGCACTCACTCAGCTTAGTTGTTTTCTTACAGACATTTCATTACCTAACTAGGTAACACCATCAATGTTACCTAGTTAAGCCAATCTCTGAGCCAATTTCAGAGCACAAAAAAAAGGAAGTACAAGTAGTTCATTCAGTAACCATAGTTACAACAGCATTGAAAAAGTAACATAACCATTTCTCATAGTTATGACCGTTGCATTATCTCCATGGTCATGTGATCAAAATTCAGATTCTTGGCAACTGTCTGAGATTTACAACAATCGCAGTGTCCCAAGGTCATGTGTCCCAAGGTCCCAAGGTCACCTTTTGAAACCTATGTTACTAACTTTACTTAACCACTGTGGCAGAAAAGATTGTAAAATGGTACAAAATTCACTTAACAACTATCTCGGTTAGCAACAGAAATTTTGGGCTCAATTGTTGTCATAAGTTGAGGACTACTTATATATGAACCCGGTGTTTTTTTTAATCCACCGACCATGATTGAAAAAATGGCTATTCCCTTATCTCTCAGACCTCTTAACCTGCCAAAGACTGCAGATCTTGTGTGTTAAGCCCATAGAAGCCTATGCAGTGGGACAAAGAAGAATTGAAGAGATATCAAATCCTATGACAATATTTGAATGAACTAAAGATTTAGATTCTCATAGGTACAAGGAAAGAATATGAAGTTGGTTATCAAGATCAAAATAAGCCAAATTCTGGCAAACCTTTATAAGACTTTTTGCTAACACTAGGATTGAAAAGACAATGTCTTATGGATGTGTTCTAAATAAGAGATAGATTATAGAAAAAGCAGTATCTGTCTAACTAGTAACAGGCAGTATGCTGCAATACATACACTGTGAAAGTACTAAAATATTAGTCAAATTTAGTCAAACATTGTGACTAAATATTTGATTAAATCAAGCCATTTGGTTTTGAGTTAATATTTTATACCAAACTTGATATTTTTAAACAATAAGAATTTATTTATTTGTACTTTTCTGTTGCAGTCAATTGAGAATTTGCCAACAGTTTTTGGAAGCAATCCAAAAGCCCACATTGCAGCAAAGACGGTGTTCCACTTGGCTCATCGACATGGTGATATTTTACGAGAGGGCTGGAAAAACATAATGGAGGCAATGTTGCAACTTTTCAGAGCAGAATTATTGCCAAAAGCCATGGTGGAGGTAAAAACAAATGATAGTAGATGCTAGGATAATTGGGTGAGAGGACAAGAATTTTCCATGCTTGGGCTTTGTTGTATAATCAATGTGCAAAAAACTCTTTAAATTTTTTCCCCAGAGTGTTAAATACTATCTTTAAAAAGCCTATAAACTGGAATTTTATAAAATATAATGATATAAAGTTTTAAGTTTGAGAGTGGGCTCGCATGCAGGTGAGTGGTACAGTCAGGCCCAAGCTCAGATGGGTGCACAGATGGATGGGTATGAGAGTGGGTTATAGTGCACAGGCAGGTAGGGATAAGTGATGATGTGAGGGTTTTGTGGAATATGAGATCCCCATGCTACTCATGGTCTAAACCAGGGCTCACCAACCTTTAGGACCTCAGGGACCACCAAACTCATAATTTCAAATCCTGCAGACCACTAATATGAATTTTGGCTGACAGTGGCTTGCTGACATTGGTGGGAAAGTTGATCCCATATTCCAGAGCTGCAGTAGTCATAGGACTGGCCTGTGCACCAGCCTGCCGTGGATGAGCTGCTCCGGGATGACCAAAGGGCCAGTCTTGTGACTACTGCAGCTTTGGAATATGGGACCAGCCCGTGGTGGGGTTGAAAATCTCCGCCATAGGGGCTGGCACCTATAACGTGCAAATTTGCGGGTGATGCAACATGCAAAAAGCAGCGCAGCCCTCACTGGCCAGGTCAAGGTAATGGTGCTGTTGTGGGGGGGCAGCAGCACAGGTGGGCTGAAGCGGCGATGGAGATGGCTGGAAGGTGCAGGAACGCCGTGCTACTTGCATTTGCACGGCACTCCCACACCTTCCAACTCGCCTCTCCTGGCCTGGGCTCTTCCTTGATGGCAGCGGGATGTAGGGACAGCTCAGGACAGGAAAAGTACCGGCTGCTGGTGGTAGGAGGGGGCGGAGGGGGCAAGTCTGCACTCACCATCCAGTTCAGAGGTCCAGAATGAGGCATCTGCATCAGTTTTCTCATCCCTCTCAGTGCTCCCCCCCCCCCCACGGCCCCAGCCATTGCTGCCCAGGGAAGGCACAGGAAAAGCAAGCAGAAACATAGCTCTCACTGGAGCGAAAGAGCTGAGATTGAGGAAGGCAAAGGCCGCCTTTGAAAAGCACCACTTTCTGTTGCCTGTGCCTTCCCCGATCTCCACTCTTTCGCCCCAGCGAGAGCTATCTTCCTGTGCCTTCCCTGGGCATCAATGGCTGGGGCCATGGGAGGGGGCAGCAGAGGAGTCAGGGCTGCTCTCCCCCCTCAGCAAGCTAGACCTGGAGGAACGCGAAGAATTGCGGGAGAGCACCGGATAAATGCATGTTGGAAATGCCAACCCACGTTTCCAGCATGCTATCCTCTGTCCCGAAGTAGGATTGAGTAGGATTGAGTAGGGGGGAAGGGAACAGGGGAAAGAGTAGGAGGGAAGGAGAAGCTTGTTTGGCTTTCCTTTGGCATGGGGCGGGGGGAAGACCAAATGGCCAGACCAAAAGAGTCCTGTGGAAGACAGGCTCCTAATAACCAGGCAACATCCCCCCGCTTCGGCCTCCACACAAGAGGACTCCCCAAGGCTAAGGTCCAAGTTTCTCCCGCCGCTTCCAAGTAGAGAAGGGTCCCTCCCTGTGTGGAGGCTGAGGGGGGGTGTCGAGCCGCAAAAAGCTCAAGCTCTTGCCTGCACAAATGGTGCTCCTGCACCTTCCGGCCATCTCCATCGCCGCTTCAGCCCGCCTGTGCCACCAGCCCCCTCTTGCTGCAATAGCACCATTACATTGTTCTGGCCGATGAGGGCTGCACTGCTTTTTGCAGGTTTGCGCTCGGCTGAAGGGTGGGGGCCAGTGGGTGGGCAGGTCATGTGGGTGGCACAGCCTTGTGTTCCCGTGCAGCCTGGATTAATTGCTTTGTAGGGAGACATTTCTCTACAGAACACCAAAATTTTCTCATGGACCACCAGTGGGCCGCGGCCCACCGGTTGGCAACCACTGGTCTAAACTACTAACTATTTAGAAATTGTTAGCCTGTCATCTATAAATTATACGTTGGTTCCTCAATTCTATTTTTCCCTCCATTCCTTATGTTAGCTCCCCCCTTTCCTGGGCATCTTGATCTTTGCTCATTGTCTCTTGTATAATATTTTCCATTTTTTCCTCTATGCCATGCATTAGTTCCATAATCTCCTTATGGTTTGTTTCCATAATGTCTTTTATGCTTTGAAACATCTTTCAAAGTTCCACTCATTTCCCCCTTATGGAGCATCTTGTTCTGTTTTAGTAAATCCAACTCTTATCCAATAGTCCAGGAACCCTATATTTGAGCTTAAGGTTGCTCTTCAGAAAGTGCAGTGATCATAATTCTTTGTGTCCCATAGTTCATCAGTCAGTTCCATTTAAATAGTCCAGGGAGTTATCCAAAGCCTCTTTAACTCCCCCTTTGTAAATTCAATCATGTATCATAGCATTCAGGGGACACTTTAATTAGATGTCTTCTTTGTTCTCAAGTTTAAATTTCCAATAGTCCTGGGATAGCTGCATATAGCACAATAGGTATTGTTACAATCCTTCAGCTGAAAATTCCCAAAGTTGTAAAAAATACATTGTATCTTCTTTTTATCAGCAGGTGGCACTTTCAGCTTAAATTTCAATGGTAACATGAGTCAATCTGGTTTTAATCATTTTAAATGTAATTCAGTTATAAAAGCAAAGTTAGCTTTTTAGGTAAATAATTTCAGCATTTTAAAATGCCTTTCCAATTTAATGCCTTTCCAATTTAAGAGTCCAGTTTCCTGTATTTTTAAACTTTTTTTGTTTTATTTTTCTCCCCTTAATTCTTTTCTTTCAATTCTGAAATTTTCCTCAAAGTGCTTAATCGCTGCTTTAGCAAATAGTTCTAATATGTTGTTGTTCAAAGCAGGGATCAACCAAAGAAAGCAGAGAAGATACTTTCTGACTGCTTTGATCCCAAAAAGTTTTTGCATGTTAATAAAATGCAAACCAGAGTCATGTACTGTATTTCTATACAGAAAGCAGGAATTGATAAGAGCAGTCAAATAAATCAAAGAAAGAAAGCAAAAAAGGAAGCAGAAAGAATCCAGAGGGGTTGAAATAAATCAGCAGGGGTTGAAATAAATCAACATTCAGCCAGTCAGTTAACCATTAAAAACAAGAACAAAAACAAAAGTTCAAAAGGAGAACTTAAAAGCCCCAGGCATGCTTGCGAAAACATTCTGTTGGTAGGAAGAGATGTTAAACACCCATTGACTTTTCGGCTGTTCCCACAAGAAGTTGTAGTCTTCAAGATTCCTCTCCTGGGTGGGTTCACAGCTATCCATAAGTCCTAAATGCCCCCATTCAAATCCAGGGGGACAAGACTGCCAAAGAACCAGCTCTGGCAGCAAACAGCAGATTGTGAGTAAGAGAAAGAAAGCTCTTACTCCTCAGCAGCCATCTTGGGGAGGAGTCAGGTCTTCCTGTATTCTTCATTTGATAATAATGTAGAGGAATCTGGAAAATTCAAGAAAGATATTTTTATTTTAATATTGATTGTTTTGTATGTATGTATACAGTATGTATGCATTTTGATGCTTTTGTTTTGTAAACAGCATTACATGTGTGTGTATGTAAGTTTCACAGAACGAAGCCAATTCCAATAGCTTTCTTCTTCAATTGACAGGAGACAGCAGCAGATAACTGCCTATTAGGATATTGCATTAATTGGCAATCCAGACTCTATATCTGACTAGTTGCTGCCAAAGAGTCCCAGTCAATGGACAGTTTTTTAAAGCCACCTTCAAGTCCTCCTGGTGCTCTTGTTTTCTCTGAAAAACACAGAACTTTTCAGAGTTACCGAGAATAACGCTGTGACTAAATAGCATGGAGAGTTTCAAAGAGTGTGGCCTGTAGTTATTTAAGCCTAAACTTTTAATATATGCGACAGTGGTAGAAGAGAGATGAGAGTAGCGCTCCTTGTGATCCATCCTCTGTGCTGTACAATAAAAGAAATAATTTGGTAGAATAACAATGATCCAGTAGAAATAACTTGGGAAAGTATTACATTCTGTCAAATTGCTTGTATTTTAAAATCTGCCAGAGGTTATGTAAAGTTCTTCATGTTAAGATGTCTTATTAAGTTATATGATATGTTGATACAAGAAAATGCTTCTCTGATAATGGTGTTCCAGTTCCGAAATTTAAAAAACAACTTTAAAAAAAGCAAATCTCTTTAAATAATACACATATGCGGCAGTCTTCAAATGGAGTCTATGACAACTTGGGGTGGGTAGGTCACAGGGGTGGGATTTTATGGTTCAGACCGGTTCTATAGAGCCAGTTGTAATGATTCTGTGCAGTTTGGAGAACTGGCAAATCATGCTCCTGGCTGGCCCTGCCCCTCTCCACCCGCCCCTTTCCTCCCCTCCCCATCCAGTCAGTCCTTATCATGCATGCACAACATTGTGCGCATGCACGACATTGCTTTTAAAAATAAATAAATTTATTAATGAAACAACAGAAAGAAAAAACATTTAAAAACAATGAATGTGGTGCATACATCCCAACACACCTACTTGTCTTATATCCTTAAATAATACATATTACAAAGAATACACATTTACATATATATATAATAGTCATAATAGTCAGTTAATAGTCATTCATACATTTACTCCTTTCTTTTTTTAAACCAGTGGTAAAACTTCTCCCAGATTTTGTAATATTCAAATTCAGTCCTATCTTTTAACTCTTGAGTTACTCTATCCATTTCGGCGCACGTCCACATTTTTCTAATTATTTCTAATTATTATTTCGTCTGGCATATCATTACCTTTCCATCTATGGGAAGGGACTAATCTCACTGCGGTGGTAACATGAACTATTAAATATATTATCTCTTTATTATATTTTCCCACATTGATAGACAATAGAAAAATTTCAGGTCTGAATTATATTTTAATTTTACACATCTCTTCTAACCAATTTCTAATTTTCAGCCAGTATGTTTGA